GAGAGAGAGAAACATCAATGATGAGAGAGAATCACTGATCGGCTGCTTCCTGCACCCCCCTACTGGGAATCGAGCCTGCAACCTGGGCATGTGCTCTTGATCAGAATCCAAGCCGGGACCCTTGAGTCTGCAGGCCGACGCTCTATTCACTGAGCCAAACCGACTAGGGCTAGACGGCTTTTTAAGTGCAGATCCCTAAGCCCCTCCTCTGAAGACTCTGAGGGCCTGGGTTGGGTCCCAGATGATGTTTGTAAATGTCAGGACCATCTGGGAAACACTGTGTTAGAGGATCTCCTATTTGAGATATTTTGTGGTTTTGTGGTACCTGCTCATTTTGTCTTGACATATCATTGTTCCTGAGGACTGGAAACAAAAGGCACTGACTTAAGTAGATTTTCTCAAAATCAAAAACCCCAAAGCTGCCTCACTCTTTTCAAGACTTAAAATCTGGAACTTCATTTAACTACATCCGAGTAATATACAAGCCGAAGGGAAGTAATGGCATCCCAGTCCTCGCATTCATTTCCACTTGGTTTTGAAACGCAGCGTCTGGCTCGCTTCCTCCAGCAGACTGGCTTTGTTTTGAATTCCTGAGCATGGAACTCAGAGTGGCAAGGAGTAGTTCACTCAGAAATTCTCTGTAGAAATGTCTAAATGTCATTCCTCCATTTCAAAGTACAAAATTCATGAAGCAAAGATAAAGTCACATTTTTTTAATAAACATGAAACTTGAATGACTTTCTTTTTTAGCCATTAAAATATACTCAAGATTGTTTTTCTGTCAGGGAATAAAATCACAATTGTTTCAGCATGTGTTCACTCTCACGCTAATCTGGGGAAACTGGTGTTCATTATTTTATAAATATTTGTACCTAAGGTACAAATTCACTAAGGGTGATATTTTATTATACTTAGGAAACATGGAGAAAATATATGTTATTTGCAAAAAGCTAAAAATATTAAAAGGAGAAAGAAATCCTCTGCAGATAATTTGCAAACTCTGCTCCGCCCCCTGGGAGTAAACTGGCTGGAGACCGACGATCAGGCTGCCGCCCATTTCCTCGGGCCAGAAGCTGCAGGTCCGTGCAGGGCCCTCTCCTGTCACCTCCACTGTCTCAGGTCCCACTGCTCCTTTTCCTCCCGCTGTCATCGGAGTCATTCTGTTTGGGAGACAGACCTGGAGAGCCTGCAGGCCCTGGAATTTTAGGAGCATTCCCTGATAGTTCCATTTGTTCTATAGCTTTCTTCCCTCTCTTCTCAACAAGTACAGGTGAAAATCTGATGCAGATGCTTAAAGCTTCAGCCATTCGCAACATCACCCCACATATAATATTTTGTTAAATGGGGCTTTAGAAAGCCCATTCGCTGATTAGTCAGTTACTGAAACATCTGTTCGGAGTTCTTGTCAAGTTGCAGAGTTTGGAAGCCAAAGGGCTTATGTGAAAGGGAGTAACTGAGAGTTGGGCTGGAAATTCCTGCTGAGCAGCAAAGAGACCCCTGACTTAGACACTGATTCTCAGACACCCACCTAACTTCCAATCTTGGCCAAATCTTACTACAAGGGAATCCCATTACAATGAAGAATTCATTTGTCAGGAAGATTTACTGACCCCCAAGGAACTGTCCACTGATTTTCAACAATGTCTGATGAGGCCAAATCCTAGTCCCGCCAAAGAATGTGGACAATCCTTTGGGACTGGCGGGGATAGGCGCTGATCCGTGCTTTCAAAACCAGTCCTCCTTGGAATAAGCAATCAGGCAACCAGCCCTCTTTGACAAGGAAACACAGGCCCTACCTTGAGGATCATCTCCGCCCGGGTCATGCCTTTCACAACAATCTTAGTGTAACTGGCAGGTGCTTTCCTCACCACCTGGGAGCCAATGGAAGGCAGATCGAGCAGGACCATCTTCAGGGAATGGGTGTCCAGCAGCAGCTGTGGGAGCAAAGCAGAATATTACTAGTCACTTCCTATGGACAACAACATCCTGTGTACCCATGCTGATTAATAACATTGTCCTGATTTTAAATGTAATACATCCTCGCTGGAGAAAATTTGGAAAATAAACAAATATAAAAGAAAACACATCAGTTATAACTCCCATTACCCAGGAAAAAAGTAACAAGAAGCCACAGTAACAATGTGGTATGATTCCTACCAGTCTGTATGGATGTATAAAAAAACTAAAATTATACTGTACATAGTTTTATGATCTGTTTTTTCCACTCAGTATATGAAGTTTTTGAATTCTATTTTCCCATCTTAGCAGTCTTTAAATATCGTGATTTGTAATGGTTATAGAGTACTCTCTGTGTGTGTAACTTTAACATATTTAACCATTCCCCTGTAATTTGTTTCTAGATTTTTATTATAAATAATGAATGCTGTGCTGAATGGCTTTTTACATAAAATTCCAGGTCTATCAATCGCATTTCCTTAGGTGAGAGTCTTGGGGACAGATCAAAGGACAAGAACATTTTTGAGGTTCTTGACACATATCTTGAACTGCTTTCCAAATGGAATGTACCTGTTTACATCTGCCAGTGGTGCAGACTCACCCTCCCTGGCACAGAAAACTCATAAAAATCTTGCTTATTCAACAGGCAAAAACGGTACTCAGTATTGCCGTATTTTGAATTTCTCTGAACGCTAGTGAGGATGTAGGAGACAAAGCCAAATTTAAATATTAGTCTCTTAGAACAATCTGCCCTTTGTTATTGTTCTCCTTAATGCTAACTATTTGGAAGGAGGTCAACTTTCCTGATTGCCCACCAATTGCCAGGAAAGATGCTAGGAATGTCTTTAGAAGACCCTGGCCTGTAGGTATTTACTATTCCCATTTTATAGATAAGAAAATCAAAGGCCCAGAGGTTAGATAATTTGCTAAAAGTATCTCGAAGGATGGGTGGGGTCAGATGACAAGTGGAGAGGCTATAGTTCCCTCCCCAGCTGCCTAGGTTAGGTGCCTCAGGGCAGCGTTGGCTTCGACCTCATACTGTTTCCTGCTGACCTGCTGTTGCTCTTGACAACCAGGGGGCACTGGTATGGCTGAAGCCTAATACACTGTGGCCTGTTCAGATAGTCTAGGACAGTGGCCGGCAAACCGACTCGCGAGCCACATGCGGCTCTTTGGCCCCTTGAGTGTGGCTCTTCCACAAATACCATGTGCGGGAGCGCACGTACAGTGCGATTGAAACTTCGTGGCCCATGCGCAGAAGTAGGCATTTTGTGGAAGAGCCAGTATTTTGTGGAAGAGCCACACTGAAGGGGCCAAAGAGCCGCATGTGGCTCGCGAGCCGCGGTTTGCCGAGCTGCAGTTTGCTGACCACTGGTCTAGGAGAACAGAAACGCATGCCCATCAACCAGACAAGGTAGCAGTGGGTGACAGTCCCATCACCACCACCACAACTCTGATGGCCAATCTTATGTTCAGGACAAGGCTTGCTCTATCTGCACTGTCAGCTCCTCTAGGAAAGCCTTGCATAGCAATATCAAGCAGGGATGAAAAGGGACCCCTGGGCGTTAGGACACCCACAGGTGCTCATTCTCCCTGCATTTTCTTACAGACGGGAGAACTAATGACTAAAGGTAGACACTATGAATGGTCATGGTGATTATAATTTTGATAATAGTATAAAATTTGGAGAACATATTAATGTTTTACTTGGAATAACTTAAATGGAAATATTATTCTCAAAACATGGTGATGTATTGACAAACTGATTCTGAAGTTTATATGGAGATACAAAAGACCCCAAAACCCAATACAATATTGAAGGAAAAGAACAAAGTTGGAGAACTGACATTACCCTGACTTCAAGACTTATTATAAAGGTACAGTAGTTAAGACAGTATGTTATTGGTGCAAGAATAGACAAACAGATCAACAGAGCAGAACAGAGAGCCCAGAAACAGACCCCGCTAATGTAGTCAGCTAATCTTTCACAAAGGAGCAAGGCAAGACAATGGGGCAGACAGTCTTTTCAGCAAATGCTCCGGGAACAAGTGGACAACTACATGCAAAAAAGAAAAGAAAAGAAAAAAGAAGAGATCTTACACCCTTCACAAAAATTAATTCAAAGTGGATCACAGAGGAGAAAACCTAGATGACCTTGGGTATGGTGATGACTTTTTAGATATAACCTCAAAGCCATGACCCATGAAAGAAATAACTGATAGGCTGGACTTCACTAAAATGAAGAAGTTATCCTCTGCAAAAGACACTGTCGAGGGAATGAGAAGGCGAGCTAGGGACTGGGAAAACATCTGCAAAAGGCACATCCGAAAAAGGACTGTCACTCAGCGATCCTGCTCCTGGGTAGAGACTCAAAGGAGTTGAAAACTTATGTCCACACAAAATCTGCACACAGAGATTTTTAATAGCTTTATTCATAATTGCCAGATGTCCTTCAGTAGCTGAATGGATAGATTGTGGTACATCCACAAAACAGAATATTATTCTGCTCTTTAAAAAAAAGGAGCTATGCAGTCATGAAAAGACATGGAGGAATCTTAAATGCATGTTGCTAAATGAAAGAAGCCAGTCTGAAAAGGGTACATACTGTATGATTCCAACTATGACACCTGGAAAAGGCAAAACTATGGAGACAGTAAACAGATCAGTGGTTGCCAGGAGTTGGGGATGGTGGGTGAGACGAACAGGTGGAGCACAGAGGATTTTTAGAGCAGTGAAGCCACCCTGTATGATGCTATAAGAGTGGATACATCATTACACATTTGTCCAAACTCATAGAATGTACGAATGTACAACACTAAGTGTGGACCCTAATGTAAACTATAGACTCTGAGTTAACAATGATGTTTCAAGGTAGGCTCATCAATTGCAACAAATGCACCGCTCTGTTGAGGATGTTGATAATGGAAGAGGCTATGTGGGGGCAGAGGGTATATGGGAACTCTGTACCTGTCCCTCAATTTAGCTGTGAACCTTAAACTTCTGTTAAAAAAAAAAAGCCTCAATTTAAAAAAAAATGGTGAGGAAGATACACTAAAGAAAGAGCAATTTCACATAGTAATGTGGCCAATGCCTTAAACTCTGTAGGTCATTCAACTGCAGACCAGGAAAGAGCTAGGGCAATTGGATTTTTCTAGGTTTCCAGATATGGAAATTCTTACTTTCTTAGTATTTGCTTTTTGAAAAGGCCGTAGGCCCACAGAGAAAGGTACTCAAGTATGCAGAGGAGAGATGAGTGTAGGCTGCCCGAGACCCATACAAAGAGCTCAACATTAGAACACTTCCCAGAGCCACTCTCTTCCTCAGAGGTAACCCTGTACATGCCTCTAAAGAATGAGTAAGCCTGGCCAGCATGGCTCAGTGGTTGAGCGTCCATCTATGAACCAGGTCATGGTTCGATTCCTGGTCAGGGCACATGCCCAGGTTGCAGGCTCAATCCCCAGTGTGGGGTGTGCAGGAGGCAGCCAATCAATGATTCTCTCTCATCATTGATGTTTCTCTCTCTCTTCCTCTCTAAAATCAATAAAAATATACTAAAAAAAGAAAAGAAAAGAATGAGTAAGCTAAATTCCAGGTAGATCAAGCACCCAGATATAAAAAGACAAACTTTAAGAAGAAAATAAAGATTATTTTTATTACTATGGGTAGAGAAGAATGTGAAACAAAGGAAAGACAGAAAAATCTACTTAAAATAAGTCTGTATCAAAATAAAGTAAAAGCAGAAACTGGGAGACAGTATCTGCAATACTGGCAAAGAAATAATATTCAAGACACACACAGATTTTAGTAAACCCATAAAATATCAGCAAACCCCAAAGCAATAGTAACAACAATAATGGGACAAAGATCTGAAGAGACAATTCACAAAAACAGAAACTCAGGTGTTCACAAGGCATGTGAAATAATAGTTAACCTTATCAATAATCCAGTAAGTGCAAATTAAAACCACAATTGTATGCCATTTCATACTCATCAGATAGGCAAAAGTAAAAGGTTGATAATACCAAGTGTTGGCATGGATATAGTATAAGAAAATTCATACTACAGTGAGAGTATAAATTAATTAAAGCACTTAGGGTAAAATTCAGTAATACACACACACAATTTGAAGTTATGCATAACCCACAACACAGCACCCATATCCTTTAGAGAAATTCTTGCCCATGTTAAAAAATGTTTCCTGCATCCACTGTTTGTAAAAGCAAAAGACTGGAAATAACCTAAAAATATCCATCAACAGTAGAATGGATAAAGAAATGGTGGCACATTCATGCAATGGAATGATACTGAAATTAAAATGAATGAACTCAAACAACATATATCAACATGGTTAAATCTCAAAAAACATTATGTTGGGCAAAACAAAGCAAGTGGGGAAATGATATACAAAGTACCATTTTTATAAAGTTCAAATATATGTAAAACAAAATTAAATATCATTTGTGAATATATATGTAACATATCAAAACACATATGGGAATGATAAAAATCAAAATCAGAAGAGTAGTTAACTCTGGGTATGCAGGGAGGGGAATGGCAGGATAGGGTCCCCAGGGGGCTTCAGCAATAACTGTGGTGATTTTACTTTATATAAAACAAATCTAGAGCAAATGTGGAAGCGTATTAAGATTTGACTGAGTGGTGAGCTGGTATGCTTGACATTTCCTATACTTTTGTTAACTGAAAATATTTCTTTTGTTGATAGGAAAGAAAATCAATGATTATATTTAAAAACTTAATGGGAAACTTTCTATTTTTTCTATACTTTCTACTTCTCAGAGATATATTATATGCACAAAAAATTATATAGACTTATGACAGAAAGAGTTTTGAATGAACCAGACATAATTTTCTACCGTCTCCCATATCTGGAGATATGACATTTTCAATCCCTGGCCAACCAATAAAATTCTGTCCACACCAGACAGCTGAAGAGAGAGAAATCTTGGTCTTAAGTTTT